TATTTTAATAAATTTATTAAATATTAATTAAATTTTGTCAAATATTATTATAAATGCAATTTTTTATTGAAAATATACAATTTGATTTTATCAAAATATATAATACTAAATAATTTTTTCAACTTTATAGTTAAATAATAAAAATTTATTCTGAATGCTATATAGAATATTGTAACTTTATTGTCAAATATTTTTTAACTAGAAATATTTTTTTGCCAAATAATTTTATTGACAAATGATTTTATTACCAAATATTATATTTTTTTGCTAAATTATTGTATTTTTTTTAAGTGCTAAATAGTATAAATTGAACCAAATAACAAAACTTCAGTATAAACTTTTATTAATAAATTTGAATTTAATCAGCTATACTTTAGTAACTGAATAATCCAATTTGAATTAGTGTTATATATACTGTATGTTAGTTTTAATAAATCTATTTATTATATTTCAACTTTGGTTTATGCAGCCATTAAATAGGTAAGAATTATAATAAGGATATATACTTTTTAGTAAATACTTCAAAAATATTATTTTTTAATTGATATTAACTATTAAATTTAAAGATTATAATTAGTCAAATGGAATATAACTTTATAATCTTCTAGTAAACTTTTCAAAGACTCTTAATTGGTTTAAACTACCAAATATAAAGATATAAGTATCAAATATAATATAACTTCTATATATATAAGTCATTCAAAAGTTTTTCTATTGATTTATGTATCAGTATCCATATTATATGATCTTTTCAAAATAACTTTTATTAATTAATATGTTGTATCATATAATTTACTATATTAGAAAAAAATATGAACTTATAATATAAGTTAGTTTAGAAGTCTTTTTTTGTATAACTTTTTTTGCTTTGATTTGTTTTCAACTTACAATTATTAAAAAGATCAAAAATTTCATTTTTATATAGCCTAACTTAATTTGAAAACAATATAGATATTTGAATATAACATAAATAGAAAAACTTATAAATCTATTATAAAAAATAAAGTTTATGCAATTTGTTTTCTGTTGATATTAAACTAGGAATATACTGTATATTTGAAAATCTGAAAGTATTACTTACTATATTATTGATTTATTAATTTTTATATAAATGTTTTTAATACTGAAATATATCTTATAAATATAAATAAATTTTTAAAGACTTTTGAATATTTAAAGGTTTTCAAAATTCATATAATAAATTTTACTTAAAAAATTACTAACAAAAATATAAGTTTTTAAAGTTTTTTATTACAAAAAACTTTATTATACAAAATTTTAAAATTCTTTAATAAATTAAATTTATTAATAAAAATATAAAAAAATTTATAATAAACTTGTAGATCTATAGTACAATGATTAGTTTTTTTTAAATTAAATTACAAGATATTAATTTAATTCCAGATAAAGGTGATTAAACAGAATAAATATAATATCTGACATTATAATTTGTCAAGTATTATTTTTTATAAAAAGTTATTTTATATACTAATCCATCAGATATTAAGATTGTGATTTTTGAAAAAAATATTATAATGTGATAACTATTTAATTGATATTATGATAATCATCAGAAGTAGTAAAAAAAATATAAAAAGATATTTATTTTTAAAATCAATAAATTTGATAATTATTTCTTATAATATTTAATGTCTTTTTTATAAAAACCTTACACAAGTCTTATCCTAATTCAGTAATAAGCCAATTGGATAATACTTATTTAAAATGATATCTGATTATAAGATTAGGACAATAGCAAAAGTATAAACTGGTCAAGTAATAAGTATCAGCTATAAGTCTATTTTGAATATTATTAAGTAACATTTAGGTAAATAAGAAATTAAATAGCTAGCTTAGTTGCAAGTAGTGATAAAAGAAGTAATCTAAACATAGTATTTAAAATAATCAAATCAATACAACTTATTTTTTAAATTATTTATATTAATATTAATATTGAAAAAATAAAAACCACTATTAATTCCATAACATGTAATTTCAAATAATATCAGTATTGAAAACAAAAAATTTGTACAAGATTTTATATTTTTTGCAATATCTTAAGTATGTTTATTTATAATATTCATTTAAAAAGTTTACTTTTGATAAGCTTAAGTATCAAGAAATTTGAAAAAACTTTTTTTATAATTTGTTATATTAATATGAGAGCAAGATTTTTTTATTGTAAAAATTTTTTAATTAATTAAATATATATAATAAAATATAATACTTACATTAACTTTGAAAAAATAAACAAACAGACAAACATCAATTATTAAGGTGCATACAATTATATATTCCTTAGCTATGCACCAACCAGATCTTAAATAGATCAGCTTTTTTTGAATTCAGACTGATGGGAACAACTTGGATTGCATAATTATCCAGTTAATTAAAGGAGATAATCACTTAACAATTCACGTTTCTTTATGAATTTTGTGAAACATCTCTGACATTAGCCATCACTCGAATTCGCCAGACGCCTAAAACAAGCCAAAAACTTTTGACCGTTATTACGTTCCACCTTTTTTCCTTCTTCCGTTTCAGTACGAACTAATGGAACTACCGGATCCTTTTCCTAAAACGAATGGTTGCTAAGATAATTTTACTTTCGTCGGTAATGAAACAATATCACTCACCACTTCCTCATCTGATATACGTTCAAAAAGCGGATGCTCTTCTAAATGTTTGACCATCCACGCGTGCAAATCCTCCACATCAGTGATAGTGTATATTATACC